TCCGTCTGACTTCTTCATTATTGTATACCTAACCTAGCGATATTATTCTTATTTCTTTGCCACACACTCCTGGTAAACTAACAGTTTGGGTAGCCGGACCACTGCACAGCATATCTTCAGGCACCGCCGGAAGCGTTCACCCGCACTTTTGACTAAGTGATGGATGATTAGGCTTTGTCATGGCGGATAGTGCGCCTGCGGTTCTGAAGAAGTCTTGTGAGTCGCGACGAGTCCTTGACCTGCTGTCGGAGGATGGGCACCACAACTACATAGGCATCGACAGAGGCACATAATATTGCCGTTCCTATGTATCCCACATGTCGTTAGTGTTGATGAAGCGCGCGTGCCTTGTTGGTTTGGGTGAATCGCCTTAATTCAAACATTGTACGGCCCGTAGATACAAGATTCACACCCTCTTGATCAGAGCTGGCAAGTGTACTGTTTGCTCGTTCACGAGTGTCTTTGCGGAAATTGAGCATTTTGATCCGATGCGTAAGCCATTCAGCTTGTTCAACATCACAAGTTGACAGAACGAAAGCGGCATGGGTCAAGTTTGGCTGCGATGTTTTGCTGTGCTATTCTTATGATGGCATAGCTGCAGGAAGCATGGGTGGTAACAAAGTTATACTTCTTGTCGCAGTCTACCATGTACACCTGTGGTGGTAAATTCACGTTTTTCTTCCACCTGGGATCGTGGCTTTCTTGTAGGAATTCGCTTTTGGTAATCAGCGATCAGTCCGTTCGGAACAGTGAGAGACAGTCAGCATAATTTTTTTTCAAGGTTGCTCCTCCGTCAAACGACAGTGGTTACTTGGAGAAGTGGACATCACTTGCACTTTTCGTAAACCACTGTCATCAAATTACGGTGGTCCGAATGAATATATAAGCATGCGTTGGATAAACTTTACTTGCTTGAGCCAAGAGAAGCCACAAACGTTGGCAGGCGTTGGAATGTTCAGAGTCCAGTTTTGCTGCACTGAGACTCAGCAACTGTGACAGATGACCTTCAGGCAGCGGTCGAGGTTAGTGGGCCTCAACCCAGTAGGAATGATAACTCCTAATATGAACGCTGGCGGCTTGAGGCACAGGCTTCTGCATCTGTCTTCTAAAGCAAGGGCTATTGGACAATTTGGATAACCGGTTTCTCAAAAACCAGCCTCAGTTGGTGACACTGGTAATGTGGTTGAGTGTTGGGTGGTTAAGTTTGACGAGGACAATGAAGCTGTCGATTCCATTTACTCATATGTTATCGGTATCGGTAATCAGAAGTAGAGTGAAGTTAAAAGTGCATGGAGAGCTTTCCAGACGTTTCCGTACACAAAGCGGTCTCCGTCAGGGATGCCCCGTCTCTCCATTCCTCTTTGACATCGTTATCGAGAAAATAATGAGACGAACGCTGGAGGGCATTCAACATCCTAGTGTTCAAGTTGGCTGTGAGGAAAATCTTGTCGATCATGAATATGCAGACGACAAAGTTCCCATTTTTAGAAGAGGAGGAGAAGGCTCAAGTGTTTTTGGAGGAACTGATCAAAGTCCTTTGGTATGCACTTTGCACCCACAAAGTGTAAGTTCATGCTCGCGGACAAGCAATCACTGAACACGCCACTTACGATCCAGGGAGAGCAACTGGCATTTGTGGAGCGTTTTACGTATCTTGGAAGTGATATTAGTTCTGATTGTAGTGTGACACGAATCTGCAAGGCTCGGGCCGCGTTTGCCAACTTGAGACACNTGGGTTGGTGTCGGGGAATACGTAGCGGGGCAGTAAGAAGGCGCGTTTTCGGTTATGCAACGGGTACTTCCATTGGAGAATGTTTCCAGCACCAGAAGTTGCGTTGGTTCGTGTTGCGTATGCTTGACCATCGTTTGTCGAAGAGAGCGCTGTTTTCCATGCCCAACTCAGAGTGGCGCAAACAGAGAGGTGGGCAACCGTTGACTTGGCAGAGGAGTATGAAGGAGATCACGAAACGCTTGAGTGCTCTCAGTGTTAATCACCTTCCTGAATGGAGACCGCTCGATCCTCACTGTGCCTGGTTGGAGGTATTACAAGATATGGCCGACAATCGATATCAGTAGCGTTATTGTTGTCAGTTTTTATCCAGATCGCCTGAGTGAATTTCTGGAGGTGTAGGCACCTCGGAATGATTGTGTTGAGCTAGCCCTAGGTCCCTTCCCTGCTTACCTTTACTCATTTCTTCACAATAAGGCCTTCAACTAAGTCATGGTTGTACGGCAGTGAAGCATCGGTGCAGAACACCGATGTCATACTGCTGATGATGAGGATGATATGTACAGGCCATATGCAGCCATATGTAGCCAAATAGGGAAAGATCGCTTAGAGCTGTGAGTAGGAATGCCCGCGTCGGTTGTTAGATTCGGCTATAGAGTGGAGTTAAGGTCTCGTATTCATCGGCCTGGTGTTTAATATGAGTAGTAACGATTGGCGACAAGGCGTACAATTACGAGCATGAAGGGCCGTCGTTGGTGCTTAACTTGGGATGCCACGCATAGTTGTCGCACATAAACACGGACCAATGACTTACGGTGAGTAGCTAA